ATGGATGGATGGATGGATGGATGGATGGATGGATGGATGGATGGATGGATGGATGGATGGATGGATGGATGGATGGATGGATGGATGGAAGAAATTGCAACAACAAAGTTATGAGCACGTCTGATTATAAAATATAAAAAGACATAAAGTTTTAAGGGATATAAAACATACTTGTGTCAGATTTCCCAAAAGTGTTCATGCAATATATTTTTTGTTTTTAGCCTTTGTGTTTTTATTTTTAACAAGTCCATTGTTTTTCAGAAGAAAGAAAAAAACCTTGAAATATTAAAAAAAAATAATAATAATAATAATAAATTGTGTTTTGTATCCAGCACTGACAATTAAAAAAACCTGAAAAGCGTTGAACGTTTTCTTCACGGACAGGGGATATAAATGTTTTCCTCTCAAACTCTGAATAAAAAAGCTCTGAAACCGAAAAACAGCCAAAGCTGCGAGGAGGGAGTGAAGGAGGTAATGAGGAGGAGAGAGGAACTACTGCAAAGAAGTAGATTAAAAGAAGACGAGCAAACAGATGGAGAGAGGAGACAATAATGGGAACAATACGGTAATATTTGGAGGCGGAAGAATGACGGCCATCAGTTTAAAAGCAAAGGAGAGTTTTATTAAAGCTAAATTAGATATCGAAACACCTTTCACTGCCTCTTTCGTCTTTGCCTCTCAAATTATTACTGTCCTCTTGTTCCCCTGATTGCATAATTGAATGCAGTGAAAGCCATTTCAACGCTCCTTTTATTGTAAAGGTCATAATAAGGAATATCTTCTCTACAAATTATTTCTCCCGTCCACCTTAACGCCCATAACAAACCCATAAGCAGAAGCAGCTCATAAATAAATTCCTCTTAATAGCCTCCCTCAATCATCCAAGTCCAAATTGTAGCGTTGGCATTGCTTCATTGTCAGATTGACGGCAGAGCCAGGCAGGATTGTTTTTCCCACCAGCTGTTGAATTATTCAAAACCAAGAACTCTGGGGAGACTCCTGCCCCGCCAGCCAGATACAAATGAGGAAACCTGCAGCCTGCCAGGGAAGATCGGCATCGTCACAAAATTCCTAACAAGCAGCAGCACAAAGTGTAAGGTCAGGATAAAATTAGCACACTTGTTTTTTTTATTACTGATATTCTCAAATCTGTCTAATACAATTACTCGTTAGTCTTTCTAACTTCAACAGGTATTAGACTGTATTTTGTATGAGGAAACAGCTTCTTAAGCACCTTGCCAATTAGAGTCAAAAGTTTTTCAGTTTTCTGCTTTTCCTGTTCTTAAAGTCGGGATTATGGAGATGAAATGAAAATTACCTCATATTTTAAAATGGATATCCTGGGAGAAACAGAAACAAAGTTTCAAAACTGCATCCCAAGTAGTTCATTGTTAAAACGTATATCAGCAAAGTGGGTCGCAGAAGAGGGAGAATTTTAATGTCAGCTTTCCACCTCCGCTCGCCCCTGGGAGCTTCTCTTTTAGCTAATGAGCTCCTGGAGATTTCTGAAAAACTGTAGATCATTCTGTGGCGCAAACAACGCGCAGCAGTCACGGCTTTAACGCCACGTCTACGCAAATGTTTGTGCATCCGCGAGGCCGCACTTCAGCTCATACGCACTTTAATCTAAATGCTAATGTTTACAAGCCAAACGTTCAGAAGGTGTAATTCACCGAATTTACAGCCGCCGCTGTTTTCAGCTGCTTTTGCATTCACGTCACACGAGCTCGGCCGAGGCTGATGTAGATTTTATAGTTTTGTTTGGCAATCAAAAACCAAGGAAGTGAACAAATTTAAAGTTTGACCTAACAGATGCTGCGCTGCGTGGCTGGTTTCTGTTGGTAATTCTGGGAGTTTTGAAATGTGCTGTGAAGGGTACCCATGCATAGAGTTGTTTACATCCAGAGGCGGTTGGGTGAGCCCGACACGAAGCCCAACTAATGTCGACACCGAGACACCAAACCTCTGAGGAGTTGAAGTAAAGCGAGGGCAGGGAGAGTTAAATTTAAACCATTTCTTCCCTCGTTATGAGCGTTGTAAGCATTGAGCACAAAAAACCAACACAAATGTGCAAAAGCAGAAGAATGTATTTCACCAAGACGTGCCTGCAGAAAAAATATGCAAACTTGACTTTTAGACATTACAAGGAGACGAATGCAGCACACAGGGTGCAGCGAGTAAGAGAGAAGGAGGGTGTTGGCAAGATGGAGACCTGGATGAAAGTGTTTTTCTACAGCTTCACCTCTCGATGCTCAGCGTTCTCCTCTACCGTCATTCTCGCAGGTCTCACACTGGGTTTGGGCTCACGTTTTCCCAGTTACACTTGTTCGTTACCATCACCTCAGTCATTGACCTGGAAGTATCTGTCACATCTCTAAAAATAGAACTATGAACAATTATTATCTTACCTGTTGTAGATTTACAGTGGCTAGTCTAAGCATGGTAAGACTACAATGGACTACTACCAAGTTAAAACAACGAACCACTTTAGTTTTAATGAGGTTCATGAGAGTTATATGTAAGAAAACTTTAAACTGGTGTTAGATCCACGCTACATGGTTACTGACATGGAGTTTGAAGGTTATTTACCCCAAGAAAGAGCAGTAGCGCCTAGCTGTAGCATTTTTGTTGCATATCAGTAGACTTTCTGAACAAATTTTACAAAGTTTGACACGGAATAATCCTAAAATGGAAAAATAATTAGCGTGCAGATTGTGAGCTGCAAGAAAATTTGTAGATTGGAATAGTTTTAGGACAGCAGCAATCCGCTTTGCTTAGACTATCCTTTAGCTTATCAGTCCAAATTAAACTCGAATTTGTCCAAACTAAAGATGTTCAAAGGACCATTTTTGAATAAATGTTCATAACAACCTTCAAAATAGATAATCACTTTAAAATTGACTCAAACCTGCATTTTAAGAGGAATCAGCAGAGGTGGAGCACAGTTCCTGTCATGGTCGAAGATGTGGCAGGGACAAAGGCTTTAAGATACAATTTCCAGAAGGATCTTGCAAATCTTCTATACGTCTGTGAAGGAGAATTTAATTTTCTTATCAACCGTCTGTTGAGGCGGCAGCACCAGGACCACGGTGACTCAAAGAAGGTGAACAAGCTGATGAAGAAGATCAGCTCCATGCTGATGATAACTAGACTTACTAATAAATACTCTGGAGAACACATCTCCATTGCATCTACATAACAGTGCAACAGTAAATGTTGAGGAAACGTTTCCACATCATCTACAGATACGTTCTGGAGTATAAAATACTCAGTTACATACAGGTTTAGCAGTGCGGTACATACTGTATATTGATCCTGACCCATCTCAAACAGGTACAGTGATCTAGACAACTAAAATATTAGCCATTGATGATGAACACTCCCATTTAAAAGCAGGCACATTATTTATTTTAGTACCTTTTCTACAGCCATGACAGAAAAGAAGTAAAGGTATTTTCTAAAGCACTCTTCATCAAAGCAAAGCATGCATGTCCGGCTCAGAGGCCTGCTTGTTTTGGATAAAAGTGCAGGTATGGCAAGACTAGAAGGTCATAAATCACATGCTTTAAAACAGGGGTCCCCAACCACCTGTCCGCGGACCAGTACCGGGCTGTGGATCATTGGGTACCGGGCCACGTAGAACGACTTAAAGTTTTATTTTGAAAAATAAAATAAAATTAGTCTGCACAATATTTTATTTTGAAAACCAATCGCTCCTGTTCACGCAATTTTAGCACTTCTTGACCAAATTACTTTTTTTTTTTTTTTTATTCAACAAACCTCTTAAACTAACTTTAGCAAAACGGAGTTAAAAAAACAAACGTCACTGGAGAGCTTCTTTGAAAAAGGGACAGGCCTGATGAAGAGACAGCTAAAGGCTAAACTGCCACCAAAATTAAAAGCTGTTTTTAAAAGAAAACAAGAGTCCTACAGGTTCATCACATCAGCAGGTGAGTCACGCTCTCTGAGTGAGATATGTGGCAACCTGCTATCCATCAAGCCCAGAAAACTTCTAAACTGCGTCAACACCTGGAGACTGAGCCCCCTTCATTAAAAGACAAGCCTTTTGAATTTTTTTTAAAAGAAAAACGTCATTATGAAGATCAGAAATAGAATCAGAATAAACTTTATATAGTTGTTGAAGGCCACCACTTCATTAAATGTATTTGCACCGAGAACATCATATTTAATGGCTAACTGCATTGATAAGAAGTTATGTTAATTAAATCACAAAATAATAATATAAATGAAATTACAAAATATAAAACTGCAATTATATTTGAATTATAGATGTTATAATTAATTACGTGACACATTTTATTGTGTTTTGTTATGAGCATGACCTCCCCTCACATTCGCATCCCTGCTGCTGGTCTGTGGAAAAATTGTCTTGCATAAAACTGATCCATTGTGCAAAAAAGGTTGGGGACACCTGCTTTAAAACCACTAAGGCAGGCCTTTTATGTATTTATTTGATATCCCTGATGTGTCCTTTTCCCTTATAGACTGCCACCTACAGCACACTAGCACCTGTCTAGCTGAAAAACTTGGAGTTAGTGAACAAAGTTGTATTTATTTAGCTTTTTTCCCACATCAACAGATGTTTTTAAGTTGCTTCCAATTCTGTGCCAAGTCAAGTCAAAGTATCTAAATCAAGCACCTCTTGTTTTGTTGTTTGTTTGTTTGCTTTGATTAAGAAAATATTACAAATACCAAGCTCTTTGGAGTTTATCATAGTTTCTGTTTGACACATAGCCACTGTTTCCAGTTTAAACTGGATGAAAAAGACGGCGTAAATTCACGTTTTTATTATTTTATTTCATATTTATTTACACATTTTACCATGACGTATGACCTCGCTTACATGCTGGTGAATATTCTCAGTCATTCAAGTCATGATCCATAAAAAAAAAGGTTAAACATAAACATCTGGATTTATATTCTGAAGCTGACTCTGTGCTTCTCTCTGGGCTCTGTTAACCCAAACATATGGTTCATGGGCAGAGATAAGACAGCGCCATGGGAGACAGTTTTGATCTGTTATGGGCTTCTTGTTCTCAGAGCAAAGGGGAAGAATATTCTCAACCATAATAATAAAACATCCATAACCTTTGAACAAAAAGCCCCTGACTGTTTTATTGTTTAATGGCTTCCTTCCCCCCCTCTCAAACCATCTCTGTACAAAAGATGAACATTGTGGTCCTCAAAAGAGTGTCTCTTATCTCTGAGGTTTCAGTGGACTGCTGAGTCTTGTCCTGAAGAGCAAGCTGTCTGGTGTTGATCCATGCGTCTGTGGAGAGGTTGTTTAATGTCTCAAATATAGAGGTCTGAACATCCTCACTGCACTGACCTACAGACGCCACACCGCTCAGTTTGGGGGTTCTGCACTTGGGATGGACCCACCTCTCTCTGAGGGTCCTGTTAGGTTTGAAATGTACCGGGATGTTGTGTTTGGAGAAAAGCTCGAGTTTTACAGATGTTCCAGAAACGTGGGATGACAAAGACTTTTTTTGTTGTTTGTGTGGGAGGGTGGTGGTGGTTTGCTCTTCTCCCTGTTCTGTTCTGCAGCATTTTGGGGGATTTGTGATGATTTGACAACGGCTCGGTTAGAATATCCACAGGTTTGGAGAAATTGTTCCTGTTGCTAAGGTCATTATCTTGTTGAAGACATTTTCTGACAGTTTCTGCTGCTTCTGATATGGGTATGCAAGTGAAAGGTTGAGTGATGTCCTGGTGTCATCTTCAGATGTTTAACTTTGTTTGCAAAGTCCATGGAATTTTCTATGTGATGTGGTGTGTTTCCCACAAGAGGAGCTAAAATACCAGCAAGATGTTTTGCAATATTACAGTATGTCGGAGTTTATGCTGCTGACAATAGGTCATGGTGATGTTCCTATTTTGTAAATTTTAAGAAGTCTATATATGCATGGAATGGCTTCCCCTGGATATAATCTGTGGGAAAATGAACAGTTGATTACTTCATCTTTTTCAAGTTGGAGGCAGTCTGATCCCATTTTAGTATGTGCTGGTTGGATCCCTCTTCAAGGTCTCATACGGGTGTCACTCAGTACTGTGGATATTTGTCCTGGTAATCAGAAGTGTTGAGGATCACTGTGCATCTTCCTTAATCTGCGAGTAAAATGGTGATGCTTTGGTCCTGGATAAGTGATGTTGTATATTTTCTTTCTTGTGGTGTGAGATTTAAAGAAGGTGGCTTGGCACTGGAGAGGGTTGTTGTTCCTAATGGTGGATTCAATGGCAGTGATACATTCCACAATGAGTTTTCCTATGGAGAAATGATGAAATTCAGACTTTTAGCCAGAATGTCCATCTCTGGCTGCATCAGCGTCCTTTTGGGCTGGCTTTTGTTAATCCATTGGTTCTCAGTCTTTGCGTTGTGACCTCCTCCTGATGTTGACTGGTTATTCGCTGTGAAGAAGCCGCTTTTTGTTGTCATTTTTTTTATGCACCTTGTTACCATTCCTTGGTTGTCTGATGTTGTGAAAGTTACATTATGCTGTTTATTTGTCATATGCATGTTAACGCAAGGTCAACAATGCAATGAAATGTTCAGGATGAGAAGAACAAATTTGACTCACTAAAAAACAAAAAATACCAAAGCAAAGTGCCAAAAAGTGAAAAAGAAATATAATATTTACATGGTCCAAAAGAAATATAGTAAACAACAGCATGGTAGAATATAATGGTGCAAATAGGCTGAATTAGTATAAATAAGTATTTCACAGGTAGTAATATAAGCTTAACTGCACATTATATATATTGCACATAACTAACACACACGACGGGTTATTGCACAGGTAGTGAGTAACACTGAGATGAATTGAATTATGATGGTAAGGTATTGACATACATGATACAGCCACATATTGCAGCAGCAATAATCATATTAGGTGTCAGATGTGACAGTGCAATGTGATTATTATGATTATTGTCAATTGTTCAATAATCTGACAGCTTGTGGGTAATAATTATCTTTATTTACAAGATGACCAGCTCCTGTTGAAAAGTTGTGGCTTTTCAACAAAACTGAAAACTTCCTCTGTCAGGGTTTTGGGTAGAAGAGTAGACAGCTGCTGACAGGTCTGATCGATTTAGTGTGAGAGAGCTTCAGTGATGAAGTGGAACTGTTTTATCCTCTCACTAAGCAGATTGTTCTGGGCTTACCAAAGTATCTCTTCTTCTCGATGTCCCTTGACAGTAGACTTGAGTCTTGCTGTTGGGGATGAATCTTTGTGGTTTGCATCTCAAACTAAAATGAAAATGGTTCCTGTAATCCGTGTTTCCTTGACATCTTCTCATACTCACTCATTTCTCGGTGTCCTTCCCGAAGTCATGGCAACGCACTGGGGCGGATGAACTACCATACATCCTCCCCACTAACAAGGGTGTGTTTTGTTTTCTTCTTCTGGTAGAGGTATTGTTTCCAAAAATCAGAAGAAAATAACATTTTGCATTCATTCTTATTGCTGTTGGACCAAACCCATACCAGACAGTAGACCTTACAAGTACCCAACAATGATTTAAACATGCTGTTACACCCATATTGTTACCTAATCTTACACAAAGTCTACAAAAAAAAGTATGGAGAACATAAAGTTTGATGGCATTTTCCAACATATTTCTATTTGCTGTGGTAAAATAAAGTTGTTGCTTTATTTTTTTTTTAAGTTTAAAGTTTTGGTGAGAAAACACAAATATCTGAAAAATGCATCGTTAAGATGTTTCAGTCTTGACCAAGCCTGTGGTCTGACTGAACGGCGGGCTTTTCTCTCCAGATTTCAAATGTTCATCATAAAATTGTTAAATCTTTTACACAAAACAATGATATAGCAATAAATAAATAAGAGTTTATTACAATGAACTTAAGGCTCCTAACCTGTCAAAGATGAAGCCAAATCACTATGAAGGCAGCTACAAAAACAAGATATTCACTGACATTCTTACACACACGCACATATATATTTATATATATGTAGCTTTTTTTTCTCAATTATCACATAGTTCCCCTCAGGGCTTGGGTAGCTCCATAAACAAAAGCAGCTATTTCACCCCCACACACTTTCACACATTTCCAGCATGGCTGTAGCCCATATGACCATCTAATACTGCACTAAGGGGCGCACAGCCAGAGCAGAAATAGCTCTGTGGGCTGAGAACAGACAGCAATTTCATCATATCTACTCCAAGGCGTAAACACAGCCAGGAATCATTCACTACAAGCCACCAGTGGTTAAACCGAATTTATAAGCGCACTGACAGACTGTTCTCGTCCATTTCTCTGTAGCACTAATGTAATAAACATTTAAATTGATTAAAATGTCAGAACACATTCTGAGTGAAGAGATCAACTTTTGTGATTTCACAAACTTTAAAATTAGTTCTCATTCCTTTTGTGATTCTGCTGTAACACTGCTTTGGGGAAGTCTATTTCAAAGCAACAGATAAAATAGATGAAATGTTTTAAAATTCAAACAGAACGTGGAGACGCAATGTAACTGCTGATAAAAATGCTCATACTTCAGATGCCTGATCGTTGCTCGGTGGCTCAGTGAAACCCCAGCAGGGAAACACACAGACGGAAACCTGAGACCACGCACCGACAACGAGCTGAGCTCATTAGCTAAAGCAAGCCACTTGTTTTTTCTAATTTTACATATCACAGATTAAATTTAACATCTTGTTAGGAAATATGTTCAGATAAATCAATGCTATTATTGGATTATACCAAAACAAGCTTTGACTTTAGGATGGAAATGTATCAGAGGACCAGACAACTTGATTCAGTCCACCAACATCAGGAAGCATCTTACCTGTGTTCAAGAGTCAAGACCATCACCTTCAAAACAAATAAGTTCATTCTAGCGTATTAAAATGCATTGCTTGATTTGGACAAGTAAAGATGAAAAGGTCTGATAGCTCTGTGTTGGAAGCTGTCCACAGCTGTGGCTCACTTCTGCTGCAGCTCTGACTGGGAACCATTAAGTGACCATTACTCCATAGAATAAGCCAACAACACTTCTATTACTGCACAATGGGTGTGTCTCTCACAGGTAGTAACTCTTCAGGTCCCTGTCTGTTTTATCAGACAAACAGAGGTTTGGTGTGTTTTATTTATTTATTTATTTATTTATTTATGCACTATATCATTGAAACTCATTTGTTGGCAGTTACAATATATCTGAATTTTTGTTTTAAAGTTTTTACCATTTATGTTTGGAGGTTTTTATGCATAGCACTCATTGTCAAGGGAATTTATTGGTTTATATGGTGGAGGGCAAAGAAAATTATAATTTTATTGAGTTAATACTGTAGTTTAAGCCCTATTCATATGGGATTAGTTTTACCTAGGGACCACATGTAATAAATAAATTACTCCCCAACGTCTGCTTTTTATTTGGTGCATTTGCACGGGATGACCGAAGCCTGAGATTTTGCTGAAATTTACGGACATCTTCCAGATATGATGTTAACGTGCTGCATGTTGTGTAACGATATGAATGACGTGAGTTGAATGATGTTACGTTTCAGGCTACAGCCACAGCTCAGTGCTGTGTTACTGCCAGGGCTAGCCAGCTGTATAGTAGTCTACAAACAGAAGAAAATTATTCTTACTCCACGGAGCAATGCATGATGTGAGCCACCGTTTCTATATGATTTTGCTCCTTCTCTTCAACCTTTTATTTTTTTATTTTTTTGGCGACCGTTACAGGTCGATAGGCTTTTGCTGGTTCGGGACACAAAAGGTTATTTATGCACTCCAATGCAGCCAAAAGCAAATAAAAATGCGCCCAGGAAACAAAAAACGCCTAATTGCATAACGGATCCCACCCAGTCCAAATCACAGAGATGCCTATTCACATTGAATTAGTATTATCACAGGATCTCGGACTTCAGCAAAATATATTAGGTAATTTGCGGGGGAATTTTTACTTTACAAATTACTGACATGGCCAATTCACATGGGGTTAACAACACAGACAATCTCCGGAATTCTTACAAATAGCATGTGGTCCTTATGTAAAACTAATCCCGTGAGAATAGGGTTTTAGTTGTTTTTTGGTTCATTGTTATTATTATTAAACTTTTTTTTTGTTGTTGTTTCATTTCAGAGTCAGAGTCAGTCAGAGTCAAAGAGTCAGAGATTCTTTATTGTAATTCGCACCTCATGTGGTACATGTGGTGGAGCGAAATTATGTACACAGGGTCCCTGTGTATAGAGGACTATACTATGAAGAAAATGTTCCTGCTTAACCAGCTACTTTGAGCTGAAAATATCACAAAGAAGGATCTCTTTGAGCGTGGCTCGATCTCCATGGTAACAGAGATTTCAGTCATAACCTGAGCAGTTAGACTGCAAGAGACAATAATGTAATTTACAAAAAATTGGTGTGGAATAAGCAACATGACGCCGTTAGAACCGTAGAAGGTGATGATACACAATGGACTGTGCACACTTGTCATAATTTGTCTGGATTTGATAAAATGTCCAATAAATTTATTAATAATAGATGTATTTGTTAGTATCTCTGTTGATCAGAGAATGTTTTGGAAATAATATGATTAAGTTAATGAAGTGATCTTCCCATAATGGGACAGTGTCAGAAATAAATAAATGTCTTGACTGAAGGTCTTGCATGTAAGATCATTCTATTCTGACCATGTTCTGCAACATTTGAAGAATAGTCCTCGTTTGTCCTAACTGTGGGAAAGACATTTCCCCTCGTCTAAATTCTGCACTTTCCATTATAAAGCCAAAATCTGATGATGTTCTTCAGGAAGGAAGGATTGGGGCAAGTGGATAGTTAATTTTCTTTCGTTTTTGGTAAGTAGTTCTGTTTTTTTTGTTTTGTTTTTTTTATTTTATAGATCTGTGTGTTTTTGTGGAAAAGACAAAGTGAAACTGGGAACTTTCTTTTTCATGTGAACACACACAGAGACCAAAGCAGTAAGTAAGAAGTAAGTTAACGCTGTATATAATAATTTCTTAGTAAAGTTTTAGGCGTTGTCCGGCCTGCCTTAGAGGACAAGTCCCTGCTGTGTTGTTGTTTTGTTGTTTACTTTTCAGAATGTTATTCTGCACTTTTGAAACCAAAACCTGCCTATTCACCCGAGACCCTGAATGAACAGTTCATGCTTCCTGAAAACATTGATGCCGTTTTATGAGGTAACTGTCTGCAGGTTTAGAGTGAACCTTCATCTTGTAAAGAAAAACGAAGAGGGAATGATTGATGTTCACCCATCTGTAATTATTTCCAAGTTTATACTGTAAATCTTATACGTACACAGGATCTTTTTGCTTCCCAAACACCATTGTTCCTTGTTTCTGTCGTAATGACCGTTGTTTGAGTGCCTGCAGAGAACTGGCCTCTTAGCTTTGTTTGTTTTGTCATTAGCCACAACTGAGGTTTCTAATAAATCCAATTATCCAATGAAACAGGAAAACCCATGAAATACCAGAGACCAAAATAGCAATCTCTCTGTCTAGAGTCGCTATAATAAATATGCTAATCAGGGATCTGAGACTAACAAGAAGTATCTAGTCAAATGTTGATGAATGGCTTCTTCAATTAGAGGGACTATGGAGTGCCATGATAAATTAAAGTTCTCAATTTCTCAGTAGGGGAGATGTGTAAGAGGGGTTTGATTGTTTACTGTGTGACGGATCTACTGGAACATGGGGTCAGTTCTTACAAAGCTTTAAAAAGTTATACTTGGTTAATAAAACTTTATGTTCGTCAGGATTTTTAACCCTTTTAACTTTAGGAAACCATTATCACCTGCCTCTTATTTTGTTTTTTAATGTGGTTATGAGTATTGGTTTCATCAACATCTTTATCAGTCCCCTGATACGTGTCAGGATCTTTGGTTACTTTTTGGTATTCTTTTTATGCTTATTGTTGTAGTTATATTCTTTATTTCTTATGTTTTCTCTTGTTTTCCTTGTGTCTCCCTGTGCCACTGGTTTTCCATTTCCTTTCAGTCAGTTTCTGCTTCTCAGCTCCTGTCACTCCCCTCTCACCTTCTTGTTATTATGTTGCCCAGGTGTCTCCACTCATCTGTCCCCATCTGTGAAGTCCTTCAGTTTTCACCTCCCAGTCAGTCTGGCATAGTTGTTTGTGTTTCATGCAATGTCCATTTCTCCACTGTTTCCATGGGTTTCGTCATTTTGCCATTTCTGTGGCCACATCAACTTTTTGCTTTTGATAAATTTTACATTTTAAACTCTACAAAACATGGCAGTGTTTTAGATAGATTGATCTTAACGTTTTTTTTAAAGAAAATGCCACCAATAGTTATGCTTAAGAGATTATTTTAATACTACAATAAAACAATTTGTTGTGTAAAGCAACAAATCATCAACCATTGTAAAAGTGCAAACATTATCTCCTCTGCGTGGCCGAAAAGTTTACACCATAGCCTAATTTTAAGCAAAACAAGTCCTATATGGACTGGATGAACTCAGGAATCATCATCAACATCACATGAAGATCAAACTCTTTTCTAAATTCCACAAATATGCATGTTTCTAATTAAATTCCTGGAATAGCAATAATGGGACACATAAATATGTGATGTTATTAGGCAACAACACAGAGAATACTAATGATGTCTTCAACAGATGTTCTAGACAATCCCTGATTCTGTTTTACTTGTTTTTCTGTAAACCCCCTGGTACCTGATGGACTTTACAGAGCAGATTGTTGAGAATCTCAGTTTTAAGGGCTTTATGGGTTTCAACAAGTAGACGTCGCAACACTTGTTCCCAAACCAAATGTATAATGTATGTCCCCCCTCAAACATGTCTACTGGTCAAACTCTCGTAGACAGATGGTGTTTAGGTTATCCTCCAGTCCTTCAAGGGGAAATCTGACTTTGTCTTCCTGTGACTTCTCTGTTCTCTGCCAGACGCCCAGCATGCCCTGTCAGCCAGAATGCACAGATCAAAGCCTCATCCCAGCCTCTTAGCCGCTAAAGCCAGCATGACAGTGAACCATCATTAACACTTGCAAAGAGTGTTACCCGTCTTCCTCTGGAAGCAACATCGCTTGTCGTCCACGGTTTCACCTGGCCTTATTTGCATTCATGGGGATTCTCTCACCCGGGCATGAGAGCTACAAGATATGAGTCTGATAGAAGTGTGATGGCTGCAGGAATTAAACTTGTAATTCTCAGCTGGCAGAGCTGATGTGTAAAGACTGACACGTCGAACAGTGGCTCTGTCAGGGCTGGAGGGGATTACTTGAAAGAGAGTGACGGGTGACGGATAAAATCATGACATGTTTCTAATTAAAGCAAATAAAAGTGTTTCAGGGCAAACACTGTGACATTTTAGTTGTTAACATAAAACAGGACAGTTTGGGAAAGTGTTGGTTTCAAGTTGAGCATGCAAGCCTCTGATGTGTGCACAGTTTGTCTTTCCAACATACCCACACTCCGCTTTATTGATTTAGTGAAAGCATTAGTCACAGTCTGTCCATTACAGTACAGACAGCAGCTGAAAAAGAAGTTTAAAAGGCAAAGGCAGGAATCACTGAAGTGTGAAAGATAGTAAATGGAGCTAATAAATATATTTTTTACGGTCTCTAATGCATGTGTTCACTTTGTTTCATGAAAAAAACACACCAAGGGTAGAAAACAATTGATTTGTTTGGTCGGGTCAAGAGAAAAGGTGCTTTGTGTCATTCAGATGCCCTCTTGTAAACAGCTCCACACAGACACACTAGAACGCGTTCACTGCAGATCAATGAAGTCCTGTAGGAAGATCTGAGCGAGACAAAACAACAGAAACAACAACTCTGGTGTTATGAATATGCATTGATTCTACGCTTCACGTTTTCATTTGACTCCCAAATGAACCAGGTAACTGTTGAGAACCGCAGGATCAGAACCAACTGTTCTAAAGATGAAAAGCAGGAGAGGTGGAGCACAAAGGCTGGGCAATCAGATCATTGTTCTTTCTTCTGCAGGTGTTGCCACAGCGAGCAAACTTGCATGAAAGATTTGAAACCTGCGCTCGAACCCGCAACCTCAGGAATACAAGACCACAACACCGACCACCGAGCGACTGCACCCTTGAGAAGATATAAAAGCCCCATAAAATATAGAGTCGACCTCATTTTCAGCTAAAGTTAACATGACAACTTCAGCTTGATTTATACTCTGCAAGAAGTAAAGGCTCAACAGTCAACAAAATGACAGCAGACATCTTGAAGTAATTTGGTCTCCTCAGCATAAAACCATTATTTCTGTGCTCGTCCTAGTGTTGTAAAAACACACATCAAACCATATTCCCCACCATGAGGTTGTTGTGCTTCTGTTGGCGTGCTCACCGCGGGGAGAGCCGTTTCCTGGAGATCGGTAATGGGGCTGCATTTGTGGAAAATAACTTCTCTTGCTTACGTCAGACCAATATTATTATTATTATTACTACTATTATTCCACCAAATAATGTAAGATTCAAAAGTTTTATCGTTTACTGAACAACTAACAGTACTACATCCAATGTTGCAGAAAAAGATCAACAATATATAATATAAATTTAAATAAAAGGTTAAAGGCGAAACCAACTGGACTTGATTTTGTAGCTGCAGACGTTTTGCTCCTCATCCGAGGAGCTTCCTCACTTGAAAGTACAGGGAGTGCGTAGTATACAATGTAAAAAAGTGGGAAATGAGAACAATTTTCAAAGGTGGACACTAATTTTCTCTGATATGCTTTAAAAATGGTGAGGAAACCTTTCCCTCCAAAGATGCTGAGTCTATGAACAGGGTAGGCAAGTATAAGCCTCGGCTTCAGCCTATTCCTTTTTTGGTAAATTATTGATTTGTCAAAAAGTAGTCTATATTGTTTTCCTTTTTCTGTAATGCTAATTTACCAAAATAAAGTTGAGTTGAGTTGAGATCTTTTAGTGGATCCTGGGTCTGAAAGCATCCAGTATGTCCACATCTTTAGACCGACACGACTTCTAGTCAACGGCAGGTTGTTGTGTCACAGAGTAGAAGTTCCACTTTGTTGTCAGTCTGGAAACAGGATTCCATTCTTCACCATCCTTACCTTTTTCTGCTTGTTGTGATTTAAGTTCATGCAAGCTTTCTGTGCCTGCTCTACATCTTCTTTCTCGTTTCTTGTGTATTTTGTTGACAGTATTACTGTGCAACCTGCAGGTACTGGTATAGATATTATGGCATATGTATTGTTTTTATGGATCTCCATGCGGATGAAGACTTTTCTAGTACAGTGGTTACGATAAAAAAGAGTTTGGGAAATACAGCGCTCCCATGTGGAAAGGACCGTAAGCAATGTCTGTAAGTATATGGCACATAAAAGTTAAAACACTAAAAATGTCCATCTTAAACTATAGGCAGATGATTCCCACAGCTGTAGTGAGTGGGCTCCACTAAAGAAAGCTGAACATGCAGCTGGTGTAGTCAGAGTTTATGTGCA